TAAACACCTCCATAAAATGGCTCATTCATCATATAGTTACAAATGACATAACTTCCCATCAGAACTTTTGGATTCGTGCACAGGTTTGATCAGCTAAAGGAAATTTTACTGGGCAGCACAATGTGAAATACACTTGGTTTGACTTTAACCTTTTTGTGTGACCTCAGTTCAACACACAACATGTTGACTGAAACCAACCTGTCATTACCTGGGCATCTCTGCTGTCCAGGATGTCAGTATATCCTCGTTTGTGATACATCTCCATTCTTTCATTGTACCAGCTGCAGTTTCATAGGAAATGGAGGCTTAGAAAATATTTCCCAAATCAGCAGAGCTCAGCCTGCTTATTTTAGAGTCTTGCGAACTGGGACAGTCACAGGATAAATTCATTTTCAAGACAGAATTATGTGTTAATCTGATTAGATTGTGTACTCTACTATCTGTGCTACCATAGGAAATAACTCATGCTCATTTCCTGGGAGGCAAAGAGAACTTTTAGACCATTTTCCTCAAATTTCACCTTTTGACAGGACTTACGCCATATAAATCTCACTGGTAGCCTGGCATGAAAGTTAACAGTATTGAGTATAGTCTGACGAGTAGATCTCAGAACTGCAGCTGGGGGCAGATATGTTCTGTTAGGAGGCTTCTCACATCTGAAATGATAGCATAGGAACCTCCCAAAACTGGCATCAGGGACCTTAAAATGTGACCCATTCATCATCTCTGTTTTTTTCTTTGGTAGATTTTTGTCTCATTAGTTGGTGGGGCAGGAGTGTGCCTCTGCTGCGTTTTCGGCACCTTCTTCCTTTCCCAGTGTGCTCTGTACTTTTGGAACTACATGGGTAAATGTCATCCCATGGGGAGCACTCCGTTGTCTCAGGCACGCCTCCTGTGTTTAGTTGACGTCAGGACCACCATCTCGTTCACTTGTTTCACACTGTCTCCAGAAGGGAGCCAGGCCGCTAATGGCTCCTATATTGTATTCCAGGCGACAGGTTGAGTGGGAGCCTGCCAGCAGTTTGATTGAAGGGGTTTGTTTGACACTTCAGAGGCAGCCAATCATATCCTTCCTGCCTCACCTTAGGTCACTGATCAATGTCTGTGTCAATCTGGTGAGTAGCCAACTGGCAATCTTATGGAACTTTGCACAGTTTAACTCTGCTATTGATTTCTCTAAACTGAAGATTTACAGGTCAACCACTTTGTGCCCCCCTCCCTTCCTCTGAAAACTGATGGCTCAGGTGACACTGAAAACAGTGAGGTACGCTTCAAGGTGGTACATGGGAGATACAGGGGCCCATCCCTGCCCAGGCGGGATGTTGGGGTGCTGTTTCCCACGCACTACTTTGACAATCACCTCAAAGTTGCGCTGAGAGTTGAGGGCTGCCAGTTGGAGAGTGGGGTGGTGGAGTCTGCACAATTGGCTAAAAGCTGAGATAGTTTGGGGAGGGGAGACACAAAAGAGGCTTTTCTTTCCTCTTTCTTTCTTTCTTTCCTTCCTTACTTCTTTTCTCTTTCTTTCTCTTTCTCTCTCTCTTTCTTTCTTTCTTCTTTCTTTCTTTCTTTCTTTCTTTCTGTCTTTCTTTCTTAGTTTGGGGAGAGGAGACACAAAAGAGCTTTTATTTCTTCTTTCTTCCTTCCTTTCTTTCCTTTCTTTCTTTCTTCTTTCTTCCTTTCTTTCCTTCCTTCCTTCTTTCCTCTTTCTTTCTTTCTTTCTTTCTTTCTTTCTTTCTTTCTTTCTTTCTTTCTTTCTTTCTAGGATTTATGCAAAGAAAAATTATCTTCACCCTTTATGTAATATCTAGAGTCCGGTCCTGACAAGGTTTTGTACAATGTGTTGGAAACCATGTTAGAGCATACCAACCATCTTGTAGGATCTGCTACTTAGCTAGTTGGGCAACAGTTGTGTAGTTGGAATGCCTAGTGCACATAGAGCTGTGGCTATCATCATTGTTGTCAGTGTCTGCTCCATCAAAGACCGCATTCCTTTGAATCTGCAAGCAAGTGTTCGGTCTCCCAGTTATCCATCTCTCATTACCTACACAGTTAGTTATAGACAGCATTCTACAAAACCTTGGCTGAACCCGTATAACGATTGATCTGACTCCAGACATTACATGCCTTAGAGGGCACGGAGAAAGAAAAGACTGAGAATAACATGCCCAACCTTCAATTCGTTACTATTTTACTGGTGAATGAGACTCCTTTACTACGGTTGCATGAAATTGCAATGGTCAAGGCTGGTCATGTGCTCTGTTTGTATTTCAGGTGATGGGAGTAGTAGGACCTTCCAGTGTTGCTGATGGATTACCCCTTCTTCATCTCAGCCCTTATCTCTCACCACCTCTACCCTTCAGCACAGCTGTTGTCCGGCTTGTAGCATTGCAGATACAGGTGTGACTGCCTTACCTGTTTGTCACGCTCATTGAGTTGCTGGCGGAGGCACCACATCATTGTGGTGTTCTCTCTCTCGTTCTGCAAAGGCTGGGCAAAATCTGTGACACAGAAGTGTGAACTCCTCCAAACTTTGACAGGTTTGGAGCTTCAGTCCTGAGCATGGCCCTAGGTTGTGCTTCTGTAATTCTTCTTGAGATCTCAAAAATAGCAGAGTCATTTGGTCCTGGCACCACCACAGGAACCACTGTGGTTATTCAAGTTGTGTGCAAACTAATGGCTTATGGGTAAACAGCTCACAATTGTTAATTAAAAGAGACAATAGCATTCAAAGTCTGGTTTAAAATTATCTTCAGAAAGAATTACACTATGAGCTTCTTTCCTGTGTTTCCACCAGACTTTGACTAGCTTAATTTTCTTTAATGATTGTGGGTTGAATATTATTTTAAACACACACACACATACATAAGTATCCTACATTAACAACTAAGGTACAAATTCCCAATTCCCCTGACTGTTTCTCTGTATCACTCAGTTTTAAAGCTCTGCAATCAATGGAAAGAATACACCAGCTATAAATGGGTAGCTGACCTACCCATTAGCTGGCAATAGGCTTTTTACCATGCAGAAAATGGGTAGATGGTCAAAGCATAGAAGAACAGTGTCTACTGTGCAGAAGGAAAAAGATGACATTCCTGTGTTCAACTTAATAACCTGTTTCCAAAGATCACTTATTTCTTTCCTTTTTTTTTTTTTTTTTT